CCCCAAAACCCCAAAACCCCAAAACCCCTTTAGGTCAAGAAATCTAGCTATAGGATATCTAAATCATTGAATTAAGTAATTTATTAATAGAGGCGATGTAATATTATATTTTAATCAATAGCCAATCATTTACATCAAAGATCACTAAGGGTTTATTTTCACAAAACTTACTATTGAAGCAATCACTAATAATTAGGCGATGAAATGTAGTGAATAGAGGAGTTCTCAGAGCAGATGCTAGAGATTACTTCTTAACCTTGCTAAAATATTTCAACCAGTTTATTTTCTTATAAATCCATATCAAACCTATTTTAACTCTCATATTAATCATGATAAGAAGCAATAGAATCCTCTGAAGATGAATTGAACATATTAGCAATGCTTTCTATTTTCTTTTTCCTTCCATTTAGTGATCCTTTTTAGTTGTTGATGATGTTTAATTGAATATTTGATCTATCTCTTCCTATGAATTTATTGAATATCAATTATCTGCCATATAAAAATACAGGAATAGGGAAATTTAGAACTAGCTGAGCTGATTTTACTGAATCAAAGAGTACTACGGCATTCAGAGTCTGATAGTAATTCTATCTGTACCTGAAAATCTACAAATTAATCACTTTTCCAAAGATGCTCATTCTATCTCTTAGGAAAGACTCTGCCATCTAAAAATCAATGTTTGAAATGTAAACTTTGAAATCATTCGAGGCAGAGTATGGTATGAGATATTACATCTATTGCTAGCTGCATGGCCTATGACTGATAAATTCATACAACATTTTGACAGTAAAGATCTAATTCTTGATCTTGTGGCCAGCAATATAAGGATTGATTGCAAAATTTTTAGCCAAAAGTAGATCTCTAATCTTATCAGCCCAAATCTGATTGTCAAATTTCATAATTAAAAACCCATAATTCTTATCTGATCTTTGAAAATAATGCTCTACTTAGCCATATTGCTTGAAATATATTTTTATATCCTTTCCTACAGTAAATTATAAAAACCTATAGTATATAATTCTTACTATTGATAGGGTAGTTAATGCCTAGTAAACAGAACTTGACTGTAACTTGGTTCAAAATTTTAAGATACAATCTTAAAAGATCCACAAATATTAAGTGATATTCATGTTAGCATCTAAAGTACAGCTGTATAATGTAGAGAGCCTTTTTGAGGAAGAACTTTTAATTTTCTAAAATAAATTAGAGCAGGCCTTGAAAAATCAAGTACTGAGAAGAAAACTATTTATCTTTCTCTTTTTGTTTCAGTAAAAAGGATTAGTTCTGATTAAAACTTTAGCTGTTCTTTTAAAGGATTTCCATTTGAATCTTGTAGTGCTTTTCAATATTCCTTTATGTTTACATTATTTACTGATAGTCTAAGGACTTCTCATGATAATTCTGCACTTTATCATTCAAGTCATATAGAAGATATGATATATCTTTTCTGTTTTCAGGAGTCAGATTCACATAATTAATGTTAGTGAATTTTGGTCCAGTTTATTGCTGCTACTCCTCACTTATTTTTTGCCTTTTCTTCTTTATCACTGTCTACTCAACAGTCTTGATCTCTAGATTCAATTCAACTTCACTTCACTTCTCTGTGATAACCTTATCAGATTTCTTTTAGTTGTTATATGTCTTAACTACATACTTAGGAGTAATCATCTGCTCCAAAACATCTCTCAACTTGCAGTATTTAGTAAAGTATTTATTAGTTCTTTTTTTCATCAAAATTAATTATTAATTGTTTCTATCATCTCTATAAATATCTGTCTGTGGGGTTTTGGGGTTTTGGGG